ACAATCTAAGGTCCCTAACTCACATTCATACATACACATACTAGGGACAATTTAGACAGGAGGCAATTCACCTACCAGCATGTTTTTGGAGTGTGGGAGGAAACCGGAGTACCTGGAGGAGACCCGCACAGGGAGAACATGCAAACTCCAGGCAGGTGGTGCCGGGGTTGGGATTCGAACCAACGACCCGAGTACTGCCAGGGGGAAGTGCTATCCATTTAGCCACTGTGCTGCCCGCTACTAGACATCCTTTCCTCCTGGTCACATTTTTGGATTTCAGTGGATGGCGGTCTCAGTCAGCGGACCCCTCAGTGTGGTCTGAATATCTGCGATCAGCGCCCGTGGGATGACAAAGCAGACCTTGTTTAATGTATGAATGGGAGGAAGATTTCCCCGATTTACTTTCAGTTAGTCACTTAAAACCCAGCTGAGCCCTGTGATTGGCTGCTCAGCACACTCTGTATATAAAAGCAGTGATCTGTTATTCTGTTTTATCTGATATACCTCGTATCTCCACCGGCCATCTATAGCGTGACGCCATTCCGTATACCGTGTATGTGATCCAAGGTCATACAAAGGACATACATGATTTGTTAGTCAGATGTACAGAGGAGCGGGTACAGGGAGTGATGACAGGAATAGGAAAATGTTCTACAAGTACTACAGGCGTGTCACAGTACATAGTAACAAAATTAATAATATTCATACTGCTTAAAGCCCAACTCCGCACCCTGTACACCTGCTGTGCCCATGATGAGGGGTTCCCACCATCCCTGTGCTGAGTTCCCGGTCTGTACACCCGCTGTGCCCATTATGAGGGGTTCCCACCATCCCTGTGCTGAGTTCCCGGGTCTGTACACCCGCTTTGCCCATTATGAGGGATTCCCACCATCCCTGTGCTGAGTTCCCGGGTCTGTACACCCTTTGTGCCCATTATGAGGGGTTCCCACCATCCCTGTGCTGAGTTCCTGGGTCTGCACACAGAGAGTAGTAGAAGGATGGGGACAAAGCTCATCACTACATTTGAGAAGCCATCAGGTGGTTTGGCCCTCTAGTCTCCACCTAGAATTGATATTGGAGATCACTGGTACACTCCGTCACCCCCATGTCTGGTGAATGCTCCTCTGTGTCTAGCGGCGGGGTCATCCCCTGCAGTCTGAGTGCGTTAGGCATCACACGTAGAATTAGCGAGCCCTTTAATTAGCCGGCGGATAATCAGATTAGAGGAGCCAATAACTGGGTTAGTTCCTGTGAGAGGGAATAATCCGGGATTAGCGACCTCCGTGGAATATGCAGCGCTCCTTTCAGCTACACAGCCTGCACATGGACCGCCATGGCCACCACTGCTGACGTATACTGACCTTCCACCTCCGGAGCCCATCGGATGGTACGGACCATACACCTCCGGAGCCCATCAGATGGTACGGACCGTCCACCTCCGGAGCCCATCAGATGCTATGGACCATCCGCCTCTGGAGCCTATCAGATGGTACGGACCGTCCACCTCCGGAGCCCATCAGATGGTACGGACCATCCACCTCCGGAGCCCATCAGATGCTACGGACCGTCCACCTCCGGAGCCCATCTGATGCTACGGACCGTCCACCTCTGGAGCCCATCAGATGCTACGGACCGTCCACCTCCAGAGCCCATGAGATGGTGATGGTACGCACCGTCCTCCTCCGGAGCCCATCAGATGCTACGGACCGTCCACCTCCGGAGCCCATCAGATGCTACGGACCGTCCACCTCCGGAGCCCATCAGATGCTACGGGCCGTCCACCTCCGGAGCCCATCAGATGGTACGGACCGTCTACCTCCGGAGCCCATCAGATGGTACGGACCGCCCACCTCCGGAGCCCATCAGATGGTACGGACCGTCTACCTCCGGAGCCCATGAGATGGTACGGACCGTCCACCTCCGGAGCCCATCAGATGCTACGGACCGTCCACCTCCGGAGCCCATCAGATGCTATGGACCGTCCACCTCCGGAGCCCATCAGATGCTACGGACCATCCACCTCCGGAGCCCATCAGATGGTACGGACCGTCCACCTCCGGAGCCCATCTGATGCTACGGACCGTCCACCTCCGGAGCCCATCAGATGGTACGGACCGCCCACCTCCGGAGCCCATCAGATGGTACGGACCGTCCACCTCCGGAGCCCATGAGATGGTACGGACCGTCCACCTCCGGAGCCCATCAGATGGTACGGACCGTCCACCTCCGGAGCCCATCAGATGCTATGGACCGTCCACCTCCGGAGCCCATCAGATGCTACGGACCATCCACCTCCGGAGCCCATCAGATGGTACGGACCGTCCACCTCCGGAGCCCATGAGATGGTACGGACCGTCCACCTCCGGAGCCCATCAGATGGTACGGACCGTCCACCTCCGGAGCCCATCAGATGGTACGGACCGTCCACCTCCGGAGCCCATCAGATGCTATGGACTGTCCACCTCCGGAGCCCATCAGATGCTACGGACCATCCACCTCCGGAGCCCATCAGATGGTACGGACCGTCCACCTCCGGAGCCCATCTGATGCTACGGACCGTCCACCTCCGGAGCCCATCAGATGGTACGGACCGTCCACCTCCGGAGCCCATGAGATGGTACGGACCGTCCTCCTCCGGAGCCCATCAGATGGTACGGACCGTCCACCTCCGGAGCCCATCAGATGGTTCTGAAGATGTTAAATATGCTGACGTATGTAATGACGAGGCGCTTCCTGTGCCACCAGACCCGACTTTTATGATCAGAACAGAAAGAGACGAAGTGATGAGAGATTGTGCCGAATGTACCCAACCCACCGCAGTGCCCGTCTGGCCCCAGGATCTCGTGAGAGATGATAGTCTGCACAGCGGGCAGGTTTTGTATCAATGCTCTGCAGACTATTGTGTGATAAAGGATTTCCTGAGCACAAAGGACACAATTCGCTCTTCAGTCACTCACACCGTTCTATTGTCACCGCCACATAAAGGACTTCTGATGTCTCGTATTGCAGATATTTCATATACAGATCCGGAACATAATAATAAAGTGACCCCCAACCCGCTCTGATATCGGCTGCCACGAAAATGACAGATTGGGTCCATCTATTCTTCATTATTCCAAAGTCTTGATCAATCGGTCAATACAGATCCTTCCATCTGCCCCCTCCTATTATTTTTTGGGGGTGGGGCAAAAATACCCTTTTTTGGGGACCCCTCCCCATAGGGCCACAGTGGAATGAACAGTTTCCCACAGCCTACTGAGACCAAGGCACACATCATGGCACATGCATTGGATCATGGGGGGGGGGGGAGCAGCTGATTATTCCTGGTTTTTGCAGCTGATGCAACGCACGGAGGACGCCAGCCCCCTCTGGTGACATCAGAAGAAGATGATGGTGTGGGGTCAGGGCATGCTGTGACAAAAAAGGTGGATCCTTACTACTTGCCCACCCTGGTGTCCCTGAACGCCAGGGGAAAGTTCGGCTGATCACATGGCCAGTGTGATTGGCTGTCACAGTGATCACATGATCGGGAGCAGATCCCGCCAGCTACTGATCAGTAGTAGGGACCAAGAGCTGTCTTTCACAGCTCAGTCTCTGTGAGCACGCTCTCAGCACAGAGACATCGACCACCCAGCAACACACACACTATATTGCCAAAAGTATTGGGCTGCCACGCACATGACCTTTAATGGCCCCCCAGTCTTAGTCCGTAGGGTTCAATATTAAGTTGTCCCCGTCCTTTCCACGCACATGACCTTTAATGGCCCCCCAGTCTTAGTCCGTAGGGTTCAATATTGAGTTGGCCCCGGCCTTTCCACGCACATGACCTTTAATGGCCCCCCAGTCTTAGTCCGTAGGGTTCAATATTGAGTTGGCCCCGCCCTTTCCACGCACATGTCCTTTAATGGCCCCCCAGTCTTAGTCCGTAGGGTTCAATATTGAGTTGGCCCCGCCCTTTCCACGCACATGACCTTTAATGGCCTCCCAGTCTTAGTCCATAGGGTTCAATATTGAGTTGGCCCCGCCCTTTCCACGCACATGACCTTTTACGGCCCCCCAGTCTTAGTCCATAGGGTTCAATATTGAGTTGGCCTCGCCCCTTCCATGCACACATGACCTTTAATGACCTCCCAGTCTTAGTCCGTAGGGTTCAATATTGAGTTGGCCCCGCCCCTTTGCAGCTATAACAGCTTCAACTCTTCTGGGAAGGCCGTCCACAAGGTTTAGGAGGGTGTCTATGGGAAGGTTGGACCATTCTTCCAGAAGCACATTTGTCAGGTCAGGCACTGATATCGGGGGAGGAGGCCTGGCTCACAGTCTCCGCTCTAATTCATCCCAAAGGTGTTCTATGGGGTTGAGGTCAGGACTCTGTGCAGGCCAGTCAAGTTCCTCCACCCCAAACTGGCTCCTCCATGTCTTTATGGACCTTGCTTTGTGCACTGGTGCGTAGTCATGTTGGAACAGGAAGGGGCCATCCCCAAACTCTTCCCACAAAGTTGGGAGCATGAAATTGTCCAAAATGTCGCCTTAAGAGTTCCCTTCACTGGAACTAGGGGGCCAAGCACAACCCCTGAAAAACAACCCCGCACCATAATCCCCCCGCCAAACTTTACGCTTAGCACCATGCAGTCAGGCAAGTACCATTCTCCTGGCAATTGCCAAACCCAGACACATCCATCGGATTGCCAGACAGAGAAGCGTGATTGGTCACTCCAGAGAACACGTCTCCACTGCTCTAGAGTCCAGTGGCGGCGTGCTTTACACCACGGCATCAGACGCTTTGCATTGCACTTGGTGATGGAAGGCTTGGATGCAGCTGCTCGGCCATGGAAACCCATTCCATGAAGCTCTCTACGCACTGTTGTTGGGCTCATCTGAAGGCCACACCAAGTTTGGAGGTCTTTAGCTATTGACTCTGCAGACAGTTGGTGACTTCTGCGCACTGTGCGCTTCAGCATGCGCTGACCCCGCCCTGTCATGTGACGTGGCCTACCACTTGGTGGCTGAGTTGCTGTTGTTCTCAGTTGCTTCCACTTTGTTATAATCCCACTAACAGTTGAGCGTGGAATATTTAGTAGCCAGGAAATGTCACGGATGGACTTATTGCCCAGGTGGCCACCTATCACGGGACCACGCTTGGAGTCACTGAGCTCCTGAGAGCGACCCATTCTTTCACCAATGTTTGTAGAAGCCGTCTGCATGCCTAGGGGCTGGATTGTATACACCTGTGTCCATGGAGGGGATTGGAACACCTGAATCACATGATTGGGAGGGGATTGGAACACCTGAATCACATGATCGGGAGGGTATTAAAACTCCTGAATCACATGATATGGAGGGGATTGGAACACCTGAACCACATGATTTTGAGGGGATTGGAACACCTGAATCACATGATATGGAGGGGATTGGAACACCTGAATCACATGATCGGGAGGGTATTGGAACTCCTGAATCACATGATATGGAGGGGATTGGAACACCTGAATCACATGATATGGAGGGGATTGGAACACCTGAATCACGTGATTGGGAGGGGATTGGAACACCCGAGTCACATGATATGGAGGGGATTGGAACACCTGAATCACATGATATGGAGGGGATTGGAACACCTGAATCACATGATATGGAGGGTATTGGAACACCTGAATCACATGATATGGAGGGGATTGGAACACCTGAATCACATGATTGGGAGGGGATTGGGACACCTGAATCACATGATTGGGAGGGCGGGGACAATACTTGGGGCAATATAGTGTATGTGCGACATGTGGGCATTAAATCCCACCCTTTGGCCGCACATATGTGTTAGGCAGCCATAAAGGGGATGGGGAACATCACTGGATCACAGGTTGCTGTGGGATGTTTTCGAGAAGCTGTGTACAGCACCCTGCCAGCCCCTTCCACCAATCACGATCTGCCTGCATTGAGACACCCCCTTGATGACATCATCGTGTGACAAAACGCGTTTGGGGGAGCCAGATGTGAGGTCATCACGCACATTGGTCACCAGCTGGAGGACTGGGATGTTGATTTTGCTGCATTGCTGCTACATCTGACCCTTTTGACGTTGGTTGCATACATATGTAGGCGGTCCTGGTAAAACGACTTACCGTACTGAACGCACACCGTGCACGCTCCCGGCACAATAGCCAGCGGTGATTGGTAAGCACCCCATGCATACTTGCAAGCAGAAGCTTTCCAGTCATGTGAGCGCCGGTCACATGACCTGAAGGCCCGCCTCCACCTCCCATCTTTTAAAACCCATTGAACGCCTTGGATTAATGATCTACCTGCATTTTATATAGAAGCACAGAGACCCAGTGATGACATCACTGCTTCCAAAATAAGGAATGTCATGAAAATGGAAAGTTTCTTTTAAGAATTTCATTATCATGTTGATGACGGGGGGGGGGGGGGGCGGGGAGTAATCAGAAGCAGATTAAACGGCTTTCCACCACCTGTCCTCACTTCATCCTTCCAGCTGCCAATCAGAGTGCAAATACCATGCAAATCCCGCTCTCTGGGATCCAGCCACCAGCACAATTTGCGTTTGTTTTTCTCTGCCCTCGTCCTCGTTCTGGTCTCAGATACGTATACGGGAGCAGGAACATTTATTTCTTAGCTGCTCACTGAGACACAAAATAAAAAGCCATCACACAGGAGCACTGAGAGCCTGGATACTCAGGTGGGGGGGGGACAGGAAGAGCCCACAATTGCCATTCAAAATGAGGATCAACTTTGTCAACATTAAAAAAAAAAAGAATTTTAACCAAGAAAGGATGTCAACAATGGCATAGTCATCCTGGTATCCAGGCTGTTCTTGGAGGTATTCACAAATGTCTGACACAGATCAGCCCCTGACTGCAGCCTCTCATCTTGTGACTTGCTACAAAGTTACAGTGTACAGTCTGGTCGCTGGGGGAGGGGAGACTGAGGAAATGCTTCCTCCTCCTTCTACAAAGTTACAATGTACAGTCTGATCACTGGGGGAGGGGAGACTGAGGAAATGCCTCCTCCTCCTTATACAAAGTTACAATGTGCAGTCTGATCACTGGGGGAGGGGAGACTGAGGAAATGCCTCCTCCTTCTTATACAAAGTTACAATGTACAGTCTGATCACTGGGGGAGGGGAGACTGAGGAAATGCTTCCTCCTCCTACAAAGTTACAATGTACAGTCTGATCACTGGGGGAGGGGAGACTGAGGAAATGCCTCCTCCTCCTTATACAAAGTTACAATGTGCAGTCTGATCACTGGGGGAGGGGAGACTGAGGAAATGCCCTCCTCCTCCTTCTACAAAGTTACAATGTACAGTCTGATCACTGGGGGAGGGGAGACTGAGGAAACACCTCCTCCTCCTTCTACAAAGTTACAATGTACAGTCTGATTACTGGGGGAGGGAGACTGAGGAAATGACTCCTCCTCCTTCTACAAAGTTACAATGTACAGTCTGATCACTGGGGAGAGGAGACTGAGGAAATGCCTCCTCCTTCTACAAAGTTACAATGTACAGTCTGATCACTGGGGGAGGGGAGACTGAGGAAATGACTCCTCCTTCTACAAAGTTACAATGTACAGTCTGATCACTGGGGGAGGGAGACTGAGGAAATGCCTCCTCCTTCTACAAAGTTACAATGTACAGTCTGATCACTGGGGGAGGGGAGACTGAGGAAATGCCTCCTCCTCCTTCTACAAAGTTACAATGTACAGTCTGATCACTGGGGGAGGGAGACTGAGGAAATGCCTCCTCCTTCTACAAAGTTACAATGTACAGTCTGATCACTGGGGGAGGGAGACTGAGGAAATGCCTCCTCCTCCTTCTACAAAAGTTACAATGTACAGTCTGATCACTGGGGGAGGGGAGACTGAGGAAATGCCTCCTCCTCCTTCTACAAAGTTACAACGTACAGTCTGATCACTGGGGGAGGGGAGACTGAGGAAATGCCTCCTCCTCCTTCTACAAAGTTACAACGTACAGTCTGATCACTGGGGGAGGGGAGACTGAGGAAATGCCTCCTCCTCCTTCTACAAAGTTACAACGTACAGTCTGATCACTGGGGGAGGGAGACTGAGGAAATGCTTCCTCCTCCTTCTACAAAGTTACAATGTACAGTCTGATCACTGGGGGAGGGGAGACTGATGTGATTTTGCATTTTCAGGTACCGCTATCGGCTCCTCGGCATGTCAATCACCGGGTCACGGCCACTGATCCTCGGCTGGGACTCGGTGATCGTCAGCAGAGCTGGCTGGGGAGAGACCTGTGTGTAAACAACACAGATCTGTCTCCTGCCAGCAAGGACATGCTGCTTTGTATCTCTCTGCACAGCAATATATTTTCCTAGTAAAACACGCACAGCACACAGTTAACCCTTTGATCGCCCCAGATGTTAACCCCTTCCTGCTCAGTGCCATTAGTACAGTGTTGGGGCTTTTTATTAGCAGTGATCACTGTATTGGTGTCACTGGGGATGTCAGTGACACCACGTCAGTTCCCCCCCAGTGTCAGAATGCCCGCCACAGTCCCGCAATAAGTCAGTGATTGCCAGCATTACTGGTAAAAAAAAAAATCCCCGTATCTATACCGCCATTTGTAGACGCTATAACGTTCCCGTGAACCAATTAATTTACATGTGTTGGGATTTTTTTTTAGCCAAGACACGGAGCGGGATACATTTTGGCTGAAATTTATGATAAAATTTGATTTTTAAATTTTTTTTTACTGGACGTGTTTTAATAAGTCAAAAATATTTTTTTTTCAAAATTGTCGGTCTTTATTTTGTTTATAGCGCAAAAAATATTAATCCATTTGTGGGGAAAAAAGACGTAAATTTCATTTCTGTACAACGTTGTATGACCGCGCAATTGTCAGTTAAAGTAACGCAGCGCCGTATCACAAAAAAATGGCCTGGTCAGGAAGGGGGGGGGGGGATCCTCTGTAGGGCGAGTGGTTACAGTTCCTAGAATCACACATGGTGGGGGGGTCACTGATGGTTTGGGGTTGCTTTCCTGCTTCAGGCATCGGATGTCTTGGCCGTGTGCATGGTATTATGAAATCTGAAGACTACCAAAGAATTCTGGAGTGCAATGTAGGGCCCGGTGTCAGAAAGTTGGGTCTCCAATGTCAGAGGTCATGGGTCTTCCAGCAGGACAATGACCTAAAGCACACATCAGAAAGTTGGGTCTCCATCAGAGGTCATGGGTCTTCCAGCGGGACAATGACCCAAAGCACACATCAGAAAGTTGGGTCTCCATCAGAGGTCATGGGTCTTCCAGCGGGACAATGACCCAAAGCACACATCAGAAAGTTGGGTCTCCAATGTCAGAGGTCATGGGTCTTCCAGCAGGACAATGACCTAAAGCACACATCAGAAAGTTGGGTCTCCAATGTCAGAGGTCATGGGTCTTCCAGCGGGACAATGACCTAAAGCACACATCAGAAAGTTGGGTCTCCATCAGAGGTCATGGGTCTTCCAGCGGGACAATGACCCAAAGCACACATCAGAAAGTTGGGTCTCCAATGTCAGAGGTCATGGGTCTTCCAGCGACAATGACCTAAAGCACACATCAGAAAGTTGGGTCTCCATCAGAGGTCATGGGTCTTCCAGCGGGACAATGACCCAAGCACACATCAGAAAGTTGGGTCTCCAATGTCAGAGGTCATGGGTCTTCCAGCAGGACAATGACCCAAAGCACACATCAGAAAGTTGGGTCTCCAATGTCAGAGGTCATGGGTCTTCCAGCAGGACAATGACCTAAAGCACACATCAGAAAGTTGGGTCTCCAATGTCAGAGGTCATGGGTCTTCCAGCGGGACAATGACCCAAAGCACACGTCAGAAAGTTGTGTCTCCAATGTCAGAGGTCATGGGTCTTCCAGCAGGACAATGACCCAAAGCACACATCAGAAAGTTGGGTCTCCAATGTCAGAGGTCATGGGTCTTCCAGCAGGACAATGACCCAAAGCACACATCAGAAAGTAGGGTCTCCAATGTCAGAGGTCATGGGTCTTCCAGCAGGACAATGACCCAAAGCACACGTCAGAAAGTTGGGTCTCTGTCAGAGGTCATGGGTCTTCCAGCAGGACAATGACCCAAAGCACACGTCAGAAAGTTGGGTCTCTGGCAGAGGTCATGGGTATTCCAGCAGGACAATGACCCAAAGCACGTCAGAAAGTTGGGTCTCCAATGTCAGAGGTCATGGGTCTTCCAGCAGGACAATGACCCAAAGCACACATCAGAAAGTAGGGTCTCCAATGTCAGAGGTCATGGGTCTTCCAGCAGGACAATGACCCAAAGCACACATCAGAAAGTAGGCTCTCCAATGTCAGAGGTCATGGGTCTTTCAGCAGGCCAATGACCCAAAGCACACATCAGAAAGTTGGGTCTCCGATGTCTGAGGTCATGGGTC